GCGGGCGCCCTGGGCGGGGGCGCGAGGAGTCGGGTTTGGCCCGCGGCGGGCCGCGCTACCCCCTGAGGGGACGCGGCTGTCAGCCTCGTACCGGCCTTCGCCCCGGATTGCCTGTGCTGCAGCGAGGCGCTTCCTGCCCTCTTCTAAAAGCGTATTGGGTGGCTCTTCTCGGCCACGTTAAGTTGAAGCTGGAACTTAGGAGATTTCTTCCGCTTCCCTGCGGCAAAGCAAGCGGAGAAACAGGTGCTTTTCCGCTTGGGAGCGCAAATGACTCCTCCCTCTCCCCCCCCGCCCAGTATTATGCAGTAATTTTTATGATGTTCAGGAGTTTTGTTTAAAGCGGAGTTTCTTATCAGAAGTTTTGTAACATCAAGGGGTTTTTTTTGTTTGTTTGTTTTTCTTCAGCTACTGCTGTTGCAGTCAAAAGCCTGTGTAGGAATCTCAACTTTTATTTAGAATCAGAAGGCCAGTGTAACCTCCTGTCTCATGGTTGCAGGACAAGGTGGCCTTTGTATATTTTGAAAGAATTCAAATGCTGTGTCTGCTAAACCCTTTCAGTGGTTTGGAGGCTGCTGTTCGTGCAAGTTTTTATGATGGCTTTAATAGTAATCGTATTTTTAGGAAAAAAAAAAGAGAGATTCTGTGCTTGAAATGTGACAATGGAAGGAGAAATGAATTTTCTATTGATAGTAAAACTAAACGTGTCCAGATGCAAGTTATTAGCTGTGCGGTGAAGACTCCTGCATTAGAATCAGTAAGACTCTTAAAGATTTTTTTTAATTAGTGTGAGCATAAAAAAAAACAGAAATCCTTTCGAGGTCATATTAGTTGCCCAAGTCAATGCTAGTGATTCTTAAGGAAAACTATTGAATTCAGTTCTAGCAAAGCAAGGCTGCAGACTAACCAGAGTATACCGCTGCTATGAATATTCAGGCATGAAAGTATCTGTGAAATTGAAAGAAGGATTTTTTTTCCTTCCTTTCTTCCCCTTCCCTGCTCCAGGGAGGCAAACAAAGCATTCCCCTGCCCCCCCCGCCCCACATCAGCTGCTTGAGAATAGAGGGAAAAGCATTTTTGTGTTTATTGAACTGTAGATGAAAAAGCCCAAACTTGTCTTGTGGTAGTATACTCCTTTTAGCTGTATGAAGGAACATCAGGTTTATGCTATCCCTGTTCTTAGTAGTGGATTTTCTGGTGATTCAAAAGAGGCAAAATCTTACCTAAATAAAGGGCCTGAATTACCTATTCTGATTTACCCTCCCTGCTCACACGTTCCTATGCTGACTTGGAAAAACAGGTAAATGTCAGTAATTCTGTTGTTACCATCCATGCTGTACACATAGTAGATAAAGGGAGCATTTCAGTCTTCAGAATATGGAAAAACATTAACTCTCCCAGTGTGGGAGATGTAGCAAAGACTGCCTGGAAGGTGCACCACGGAGAGGCAAGCAAGCATATGCCAGTGGCAGTTATATACGTGAGGTTCTTGTAGGTACTCTTTAATGGCTCTTTTTGCACTAGAAAGTATTCTCCCTCTTCCACCTAGAATATAGGAATATCTTGGACTGAATTTTTCTTTTTCCCTTGAATAGTTATCTGTTGTATCTACCTTGCATTGATTAGTTTTTATTTCTTGTAAAAGTAAGGACTTAATTTATCTCTTGATTAAAGCCTCAAATTCTTTTATATACCACCTGGAGATTTTTTGTTTCTATCTCCTTACAATCTTTCCAGAAGTCTCTTTCATTGACTGTCTATTCTAAAGCACGAGTACCCTTCCCAGTTAATCCTTTTTATTATGCAGTTTTATTTTAGGTCAATTCAATATCCCAGGTTTTCCATAATTTTAGGCAAACAAACATACAAATCAAAGGCACTTACGCTCTTTGTTTGTGACGCTGGAGTCAATCAGTGACACAAATATCAAGCTAAGCTATAAAATCAAATGACCCTTATGCTCTTTACGTCCTGTAGGTGTACTGACTTCAGAGCAGTTTCGTAGGATTTCCTGTAGTACAAAGGAGGGTAAAATTGGAGCTGAGGATTTTAGAGACAATGTATTCAGCTGCTTAAGTCAATAAGGCCAGTTAATAGGGCCAGTGTTTCAACCAGAAACGGTAAGTGAATAGATAGAGCTTGTAATGCTTGTTTCATGGTACCCAAGATTGTTTTGAGCAGACTTAGAAAGTCATAGTAACCCAGTATCATCAACAAAAGGATTTAAAAGTCTATAATAAGTTGATTATTGTTTTTACATATATTTATGCACATACACACATTTATAAACATTTGGCATGTATATACTGAAATTTATTATTTTATTATTTATTAACCTTAATAAGACCTTGATGAAGCTGTCCCTTGCATCTCTCTCCATTGTTTCAGTATATGCTGAACCGTATACCAAACTGTCTTCAGAGTCTTCATTTTTCTATTGGAGATTGTTAAGTAATACGTTACTTAAATGACTGGAAGTACACTAGAAAGAAACCAGGCAGAAAGACTCCTTTGTGTTCTCTACTGAATAGCCTGTTGCCTGCTGTCCTTAGTTATATCAGCAAGTACTAAGCAGTTGTTTATCAAGCCTGAACTCAAATGACAATGAAGGGCTAACAACATAGGAGAACAAGAAAATTAAGTTTGAAATATTCTGGGCCAGTAATTTCTGTCAGGTAATGGTTTTCAAGGAACTTCTCTTGATGGTGTCACAAACACCATCTTGCAGTCTTGCAGTGGTGTCACAAACAGCAGAATTTGGTTCTTTGACTTCACTTTTCTGTTCTTGTCTTGATAGAGTAACAATTTGTGGTGTTTATACAATTGGCAGTTTTTTGAGGATCTTGCAATAACACAGAAAAAGTCAGGTAATTTTAAGAAATCTTTGTTATATGCTGCAAAACATTGGAGATGAGAAAAGCTCGAGACTCGTGACACTTGTGTTTGTGATCAAGCTATAAATACCAAGATACACCACCTAACACAATGGGACCTTGATCCATGGTAGGTGTTCCTGCTTACTACTGTTTTACAAATCAATGATTTATTTTTGTTACAGCCTTACTGCACTAACGTTTGCAGTTCAAAAAATTTACTGAGCAGAAAAGTAGAGGAGGGTAGAACTTCTCTCAATGAGATAGTATAAAACCATTTCTGCAGGATTTTAAGAGTTGGTTGTTTCTTTGCCATTTCTTATCCTTCTCAGCATTCAGACCTAATTGATATCTATGAAAAATGATCTTTGAGGGGACAGACAGATATGTTGCCTCTGTTGCTGGACAATCTATCTTAAGCTTCAGCGATAGATAGATATGCTATGTTTAAGTAGTTACAACTGCCCAGTCGTGCCAACTAGGAGGCAGAGCAGAAAGACGTGCACGTTATTTCCAGGCGATGAAACCTCTTTGGTAGCAGCTGAGAGATGGAATAGGAGGCACGTTAACATGGTTCTCAGCTAGACCATGTTACTCGAGATCGAATCCAACAGCAGAGTCCAGGAAAGCATTTGGGGCGGGAGGGGGAACTTCAAATGGCAAAAGTTGGTAGTGGTTCTTTTTTTAACCAGGGCTTTGGTGTGTGGGTTAGTTGATTTGTTTGTTTTTTAAAGCTTTCAGGAGCTTTGTTTCATGTCAGGGCTGCTTTGGCTTTCAGATTTGTTTAGAAGTGTGATAAATTGGTCAAGGTTTGATGCAAAAGGGGCCCAACAGAGCAAGAAGGAGATAGAGTAATCTTTCATTAACTTGCCATTCTCTTTCTCGTGTTTTGCACTCATTTACCCAAGCTATTCTTGATGAGGACGACCCATTTCCATTAAAAATGGCTAGTGAGAAAGATGGATGTTGTACACCGTGGAAGATTACGTAGTATGTAAAACAGTTTATGATCAGTCTGAAAGGTTACTTGAAACAATATGCCAAAATCTAAACATCCAAAATTCTATATTTACCTATATGTATATTCATATTTTATTGTATTTGTATGGTATCCAGCAGCAAAACAAATCTACCAGTGTTAGTAAAACAAGCTGTCTTTCCTGGGACACCTACTGATTATTATAAGGCAGCCCACCTTTGTGTTAGAAATATGCTGTATAGCTGAAGTTTTAATCAACAAAGGAAAAATAACCTACTTCTTTTAAGTCTAAAATGAATGACTGTTTTGGCCGTAATGCTAGATGCAAGTGCAGAGATGTGCCAGAGGAATACATTACATCATAATGGCTTTAGATTGCTTTAGAAAATGGATCCATTCAACATCTGCTAATAAAATAGCTATAACTTCTTTACATAATTGCAAGATTTACTTTATTAGCATTATAAAAATATGGCGCAAATAATTAAAATGACAGTGTTTTGAAGTTTCACTTTTTCATAGGAGCTACATGATTCCAGTTACAGTATATTTTGTTATGAGTCTTTGTACTATAGTAGAGAATTCCCCGTACTTTCGTTGTCTTAATTTAACTACAAGATACTTGGACCTTATCTAAAGCAACATCATTAAAAATGGATCATTTTTCAAAGTGCTACACAAAATTGATTCTCTTCTGGCTTTGGAAAAATAATGCATATACTTTGTACCGGTCATGCTTACTTCTAGTTAAGTAGGCAGCCCTCACAAAAGTTTTCATTTCATTAAGATTTGTTTTTGTTTTTTATTTTATTAAGTCTGTGAGATAAAGCTGTTGCCATCTAAAGCATTTGGATATAATTCAGTAGAAGAGGAGTTTTTTTTTCCTATAACTAAAACATTAGGAAACTTTTTCAAGGTCATGTGCTGCATGGTTGAATTCAGTATGGCATTACTCTTTGTTGGAAGGTTTTGTGGTGTGAGGGTGACTTGATAAAGTCTCCTAGCGGTAAAAAGTATTCAGTGAGTTCACAAACCTGACCAATAGGCTTCTCTGAATACTTTATTTTAAAGCTAGCAGTAAGTACTCCTATGCATTTGAAAACTTGGAAGTTGTGGAAGCTCCATACATGGTTGTAAATAAATAAATAAATACATTTTTACTTCCTTTATTACGAAAGAGCCTTAAAGCCCCAGTAAGAGCCATCTCTTAAGGCTTGTTCTGGCTTTCTGTAGTGAATATGATATGATTGATATAGTTCCATTGAAAAACACTTCTAGGCACAGTAATCATGAAATTCGGGGTGTTTGGTCAAATAGCCTGTGATTTCCTGACAAGATATGTAAATAATAACAAAAAATACGTAGAATGTTTTCTAGTAAAGTTTTCTATGTAATCCTTGAAGTAGCTAGAATTAGTAACAGCTTGATGAAATAAAAAAGTTCTCTAATGATCTCCTTCTATCGAAATATAAAGTTAATTGCATGCTTATTTTGGAAGGGGGCTCAGGACAGAAGAATTACAAAACAAACATTAGCAACAAATGACATTCATTACAGAAGTGCCTGAAGATTATTCAAGAACGGCCAGTGCCACTGTGCTAGGCATTGCAGTAGGAAAGCAGACAGGTGCTGGCCTGAGCAAATTACAGTCAAATAACCAAAGCCTGAGAAAGAGGAATAAAAAACAATTTCAATAAATAATATGATGTCAGTTAACTTATGGCAATATTAATTTGCTTATGTTTCATTTTTACTGCATATGTCAGTATGTTACACTAACATGGTAAAATAATACATACACGTATGCACATACAGTTCCGTATACTGTAGAGAAACCATTAAAATCTCTCTTGTTCTCATTTCAGAGTGTTCCTTAGAACTGATTCCTGCAATTCAGCTGTAGCTTTACCTAAATAAATAATAGAAGAAAAATTTTTACTGTCTTTGCTGATTACAGCGTTTAAGATATAGCATCATTCGCATCACAACCATGCAAGACTTCTTGTATTATTCACAGTTCTTTTCACAAGTGGGATTTTTCTGGTGAAAACCATAAAATTAGATTACTGCACTTCCATTGCATCATGTTTTGATTTTTTTTTTTCCAAAAAGGTACACATAATTTGTAACTTAGTGCAAATATTTTAAGGTTTCCTTCCAATATGCATTACCTTTTCTATATCCTTAGTAATCCAGTTATCTGCTTTTTAATTATTAATTCTAGGGTTGCTCGTGGTCATTCTTAAACTTAACTGTGGTCAGAAAAAAGCCAGTCCTGTTGGAACTGAAATCAATTGAGGTTTTGCTTTTCAACTCAATGGCAGCAGAATCGAGCCTTCACTTTTTGTCATTCACCACTTTTACTGCCTTTTTTTCATGGCTCTTTCAATTCCTAAGGAAATTTATGGAGCAGTGGTCCTAGTACCAAGCCCTATGGCACTCCCCCCTATTAATCTTATCCTCTAATAAGAATTGACTGTTTATTTCTCCCTTTTGTTTTATGTCTCAACCATTTTTTTTTATTCTGTCAGGACTTTACTTCTCACCCATGGTTACCAAGTTTCCGTAATAGCCTCTTGTGATGAACAAAATGCCACTGCTGTAAATCTTTCTGTCTCATTCATCCACTATTTCAGTAGCTCTGACCTTGAGAAGTTGTACTTGAGCTTTGAGGGCCTCCAGATATTTAACTTCTCTCATATGTACAAAACGTGGACATATTCCAGGTAGCTGTATGTTTGTAGGAGTGGAACAAAATGAGTGCCCTCTCCCAACCTGACTAAGCTTGCTGACTTCTTACCTTCCTTGCTTTCTCCCAATTTCACCTGGTTGCAACCTGGTGTTTTATTATTTTAAAAAATACTGAGTGCTATATGAATGTGTGTGTGTGGGGGGGGTTGTTTGTTTAGTTGGGTTTCTTTTGTTTTTAAAGCGGACTAGTAAGTGCATCTGGGGGAAAACATTGGGAAGTTTTTTGCTTTTATCAGAATGGACATAACACAGAAATAGCTTTTTCCTGGAGGAAACTGCTTCCTTTTCTCTGCTTTTGTCATACCCATAGAAATCTATGTAGTAACATGGCAGGCCTTTTATGTTTTTGCTGGGGGTTTCTCTAGAAGTTAAAATGAAGGAATGTTAAACTGAGAAGATTAAGAAAACTGTCCCTTTATCATGTGATCCATTTTCCAGAAAAAAATCCAAACCTGTTAAGTGTTTGTGTTACCTGAGAGTTAAATAGAAAAATGAAAAAGTTTAATGAAGTCTTCGTTATAAATTGCAAAAGAGGATAAAAAACCATTTCCCATTCATAGAAGATTATATTTAATTCTCTGATATTAAAACTAGGACCTGTTCTTATCTGATTTACCCATTTTATACCAGAAGTTTTAAAAAAAATCAACTGGTGTTTACTGCTTAAAAAAGAGAAAAGTCTGCTATATCCTGCAGAAGATTATTTTTTAACATCTACTTCATCCAGAACAGAGTTTTTGTTTGCAAGGTTTTATTTCTAAATAAACTCAATCTAGGGAAGAACACTGAAAGTTTTAGGTCTGTGCTGTTAAAACATTTGCGTATCATAGCACTGAAGGAAATAAAAGGTTGTAATAGAAATGTGATGATCACTTTGTGTTCGGTAAGTGTTTGCTCTGCCCAGGTGTATCTTGTCGCTGGAGGGGTCTGAAGTGGATGAGGGCGTTAGGAACTTTGACACTGTGTGTGTGTTTTGCAGAGGTTTGTGGCAGAGGTTTGTGACAGACGTCTGAATCTTGCAGGTACCCACACAGCATAGAAGAAATGGATGGCCTAAATATTAATTTTAAGTGCATTGTAGTGACAGTAATTCGTGAAATAAAGGCAGACCATTCAAGTGAACTTTGTAGATTCTCTAGAGTAATTGTAGCCATAATTCCTTTCTGAGGAAAGATGTCACGAATAAAATGTAGACCTAATGGGTATAGTCTATCAAATTTTGCCCTGAATTGTGTTTCCACTTGAATTTAAGCTGTGGTATGAGTGCTGACATCAGATGGGAAATATACCAGTATTTTAATAGTATTTTTAGAGGGCAAAAGAATATGTAAAGGACATATCTTTCAAAATATAATCATGGTGAATTATTTCCTCATTTCATTGTTTATGTTCCAAAGCTAGAGCCCCATGTGCACCTGCAAGAATAATGTGCACTTGCACTGATTTATATTTGACCTATTAACTGTGGCTTAATAGCAGAAAGATAGCTTCCTTTCTTTCATACTGGATTCTTTTTGGTAATCACACTGTTGCATATGTGATACAGATGAATTTTAAAAGTATAAGTAGTGAAAACAAAGTTAGGCTTTAAAGGCTGTTTAATAATTACAGCTTTTATCAGTTTAGGCAGAGATTTTTTTGTGCATGCTTTAAAACTTTCTGTTGCGAGCATTACTTTTAAACATTATAAGCGCCCACTAGATGAATGACTTAATTGTGAAGCGGAGAAGGAAGAAATCTCCAGTGTCCTTAACCTTTGTCTTTCACCATGTTTCTGTAATGTAGAGAAATGGTATAAAACTTTATTTTAAAAAAAGTTGCCTGACTTTTATACTTCAATGTTCATATAGCGGATTTCAATCATCATACCTTTTTTCTTTTTTTTCCTCCTCTGGCATAGTTTTTGGCAGCATTGAATGGTGATATCACATGCTGTTGTAACCTAAATTGCAGTAGTTCCTCATGCCTGTAACTAGGGAGGAAGGAGGTACTGAATCCTAAACTTTCTTCAGTTCTAATGTTTATGCCAAGTACCTCCAACACAGACAGTGATACGAATTCCTTGTTATGAACAAAAGAAAAAAAAAAAGAAAAGAAAGGGGAAAGCCATTTTTGTGGCTTTACATCAGTTTCGTATAACTGTAAGCTCTGTTCCCTAGGCTTACTGCCTGAATGGAAGTGCTTTGCATTCTAATGCGTGCTGTTCTAAGGTTGCATGTGTAATGTGAGAGGAAAGGCTGCAGGAAATGTTGTTGTCTTGGAAACCTCGCGGAAAATATATTTTAAATTCTTAAATGATGTGCAAAAAAGTAGAGTGTTTTATCAGAAGCATTCTCTATTGTTCAGTGTTAATTTGTACTACTGATACCTGTGTTGCTGCTGTTCTTTGAACTCATGAATGCAATTAGGTATCAATGGAACTCTGCAAGTCTCGGACCTTGCACTGCTGCATGATTTTGCAGGAGTGGAACCTTAGGTCATGCTTCACAGTTGCACGATCTGTAAGTAGTCCTGTGGGTTTGCAGGACACTGTTAACGGTGTTTAAAATTAGCCATCATCTTGAATACCATGTTGAATTAGGATCTTATAATGAGTTATTGTACATATATTTTCCTGATAAAAGCTACAAATCATTATAAGTTTCAATTCTCTTTATGCTTCTTTCTATATTATTCTCTTTACAATATTTTAAGTGTTTTTAATCAGTAATCTCACGGTAAACTACAATTTGTAACATTACTATCCATCTACTATATACTTAAACATAAATGGTATAATATATATGCAGATGTGAAGCCTATACTCTGTACTTAAGTAGAGTGTTGTCCTAGTTCTTACCGCTGTGAATTTTGACTTAAAAATAAGTCATCTCCTTTGGATCATTCCTTTTTTGGAAATTGTTGTAGAGGAGGAAAAAATGCCACAGACCTCCTGTATTGTGAATTATTTCCAAATGTCTAATATCGTTAATCACTTAGTGTAATGTTTATTAGAATAGTGTAGGATGATGCATTAATTAAAGGGGGAAAAAAATAACATTTTTATTCAGTCTATTGAATCTTTATACAGTGTATGTTTGTGAGTGTCACATTGCACATGATCATGCCTACCCGTTAGGAAGTTAAAAGTTCTATCAAGGTATGATAAGTACTGGAAGTATTTACAATTGAGTTAACAAAGGGAATAGAATGAAAATCATTTAAAACTGGTTCACACCAGCAATTCTTTGTGCACTATTAACTGCTAAGATCTAGTCACAAAACATTATTCTGAGGAGAAAAGGTTTAGTGAACCCTAGAAATTGGATTTGATTTATGCCAGAAAATCTGCCTTTTCACTGCTTGAGATTTCTATGGAAGAAAGCCACAGTCTTTTACCAAATGGTTTCTAAGGTAACATCTTATAGCAGAGCATCTGAAAACAATTTGGTTGTTAATGAGAAATAGTTCTCACGACGGTGGGAAAGTGTTGAGTGAAAGAAAAGGCTTCAAGATTTGGCGTTCTGTCTGTAAAGGCATTTAAATAAATGTGTGCTGCAGCTCTGCTTATGAAGTTTTTACGTGGATTACTTATTCGTAGTCTGCCTTTTGGACGTATAGGTCAGTTTTCAGAGCTATCCTTCCCTATAAGTTTAACTGAGAAGTTCTCAGTAATAAAAATAAGCATTTGTACATGACAGCTGAATAATTCAAATAGACGGCATTGCCTGATAGAAAGATCTTTACTCCTACAGCAGAAGTATTTGCATTTTGGGGTCATACTGTTTTTTTTTACTGCCAGAAATATATTAATGAATTGGAGTCATAACGTCCCAGTGACAATAGATGCTGCTTGCAGAGTTCCCATACTTGTTGTGGGAGGCATTCTGAGAAATGACTTTTATAATCTCCTTTTCTAAAGTTCTGACTAGGTGAGTTTTAGCTCAGTGATCAGAGATGTACCTTAATTTTACAGCAGATCTGAATATCCTTTACATTCAGGCCCTCTTTGGGTTGGGGGGGATGGAGCTTCTGTCAACAATGACTCGTTGCCATTTCTTCCTTCCTCTTGGGAAGAGCGAAAACTAGCAGTTCTGGCTTCCCTTTCCCTGGAAACATGTTAAACATGTAATGGCTCCCTCTTACTCTTCCACTGCAGCTAGACTCTATTCCTGTGTTCTGCTCTTTGGTGCCTGAATAGAATTGCAGAGTCCAAGATAACACTTGCATGCTTTTCTTCCTTGTGATATTGAATTCTATGAAAGTATTTTAACTGAAACACAAAGGAGAAAAACAGTCCCAGAGTGACCCTTTTGCACTAAACAGTGGATTATATTTAGCAGGAAGATTTGAAACAATACATAAGTAAAGCTTCTATTAATAAATAAAAAATCAGTAAAATTCAGACAGCTATACAAAGGCAAGAGAAACTTCAGAGTGGAATCTCTAGATTTTTACATAGGTCAGGTCTACTAACAATGTTTTATTGGCATAGCAATATTAGTTACAAACACTGAAATATCACACGCATACAGTATAGCTGTGATGCCATAAAAATGCATGTAAACACAACTAAGACCTCTGATGGGAGTTCTCTGGTGAATCTTTTTGTACCAGTGTGTTGTTACTGTATTGAAGTACCTGCCTCACTGCTGCAGTGCTGGCAGAGTCTTCCTCACCATGCCACGAGATTCGCAGAAGCAAGTTCCTGTGCACACTGCAACTACTGTAGCTCACGTTGCATCGTATTTGCACAAAATCACATTTATCAGCACCTGTTTATTGCAGTTACAGCACTGCATTGGCATTTTGATATTGCAGCCTCAAAAAGGGGTAACAGTTTCAGGGACAATGTAGACTAATTCCTGCAACTTCTCTGCAGCTCTGATGACCTAGTTTTTAAGTGGCTGAGTTTTAGATAACTTGTCTGCTGTTCTAGTCCTGACCAAAGCATTGGTTATGTAACACAAGTCAGTTTAGTGCCTTTCTGCTCTCACTGGCGTTGTCCTAACAGCTCTTCTAGATGCCCATCATCTCAGTAGGTTGTATTCCTGCATCAAGGTCAAGGGCAGCTGCTCCATTATGTGTACCTTAGATGCCACTCTTGCAGACTGAGTAAAATGTCTGAGTTGTATCGTTAACATGGCTGTGATTACATTTAGAGTGTAACTACATCCCGTAACTAGAAATACTCAATAATTGCTTTATGAAAAGTATATAGAATGATAGCTTCATAACAAGTGTGATTTCACCTGCTGCAAAAGAAACCCCTGTGCTCTTCCAGAGAAGATGGGATGCAATGTATTCTTTATGATGTGATGCTAGGTGTGATTTTCAGAGTAACTGACCCTATTAAGTAAAAAGTAAGCCCGGATATAGGAGCAAGAAAACCTGGGTCCTAGCGCTGTTGTTATAGGAAGTAAACATGACGTTATCTGGTTCTCTGAGAGCAGCTCTAGTGATGGTGCTGGGGAACATAACCTCTGTGCTAGAGAAATGAAGGCTTCAGGAAACAGATTCTTGGAGAAGCGCTTTCTGATGATTTGACAGTTGGCTTGAACCGAACTTTTTTTATTATTATTATTATTAAAAACGCTGAAGACATCGACAGATCTAACTGCTGCTGCCAAACAGGGAAGCTTTCTTGTCCCATTTTTTTCCCTTTTTTCCCCTTTCCTTATTTTGGTGTTTTTCCCCTCTTGGGGCTTATTCGCTGAATAATTACAAAATGATGCACTTCTTTTTCCTATTTAAAAATCTGAATCTGCTTGTCAGGAGATCAGAGGAATGCAAGAGCAGGTGAGACTCTGGCTGCCTCTTTCAATGACAGTAAGCTGTCCTTGATCATCTGTCCTTGAGGCCATCCTATAGAAGAGGCATGTGATTTTGTGAATGGATTAGTAATAAACCTTGAAATGCGTAACATGTCCATTTGCTGTGTGTATAGACAAAGTTTCATGTTTTATCATCAAATATGCATATAAGATATTAGTGAAATGAAACCATATTGACAGATTTTTATTAGGTCAAATTGATAAATAATAGAAATAAAGCCAATAGAAAAAGCTATTTCAAGCTTATGGTATATAATATCATGTACATACAATCAAAGCAAAGGAATTGACATTTTTCTAGATGTTTTGTTTAAATCAGCTGTGTTTCAAGTTAGTACTAGGTACTGATGTCAGAAGAGAATTAACCTATATATGATCACTAAAAATATCCTGGCTGTGGAATCACAAACAGAGACTTTTCTAAGGTAAGCAGTCCCACTGATTTCAAGTAGCCGTAGTTACTCACATCACAGAACATTTTTATATATTCAGATAAATAATATTTTCACATTTCACACAGAACATGAGGACACACTCCTTCACAAAGGCAGAGAGAAATTGGGGTAGGTCCTTATTCTCTTCTTCAGTAATATTAATGTTTTGAGTATTTGCATAGTTCTACAGTTTAATGAGGCTGACACAGCTGAGATGGTGTGTAAAGCTCTGGAGGAGAGGAGCTAGCATTTTGGCTTGTAATTCTTTCCCCAAAGTTGGGGGAGGGGATTGCCTTCAGCCACTGCTTTATGAACGAGATCCCTCTCCTCCTAATCTCTGGTGCTTGTTAGGGATTGCTGGAGCACAGGCTCTCATCCCAATTTTGCTAGCAGTGTTCTGCAGGAGATCAAGAGAGTGATGAGTAGTCATCACAAAAAGAACAAGCTGCTCTGTGACCAGCAGAGCTGATAAAGCCTAGTTTTCCGTGGATTTGCGTCTTTGACCTCTCCATATTTCCATTGCAACTATCCTTGTTCCCCCCAACTATTAATTTTCATAAAATCTGCAGGAATGTAATTATCTCAGATGTCTCAGTTAGTGAACTTAACCAAAATTTGAGAGAGCTGAAGACAATAGCTTTATTTCCCCAGGAAAACAAGTTAAAATACTAATTTAAAAAAAATGGAACTTTTCCAGACTTGCTCATGTTTGACTTCATTTAATAAAAAGAATTTCTAATTTTTTCATCACAAAACTCTAGAATTAAAATGTTAATGCGGTATTTTAGAAACAGGAAGAGGATGGAATAAATGCTAGTTCATATTAGTTTTAAATGCAAGTCCAGATTTTGTCTTTAAATGTCTATGTATTGCATACAGCGTGAAATACATCTCTGAGGAAAAAAGGTAATTCCAAACATGTAAGCATGTTAGTTACTGTATTCAAATGATGTTAAGTCTGAGCTAAAGATGTAAAGCATATAGAATCAATGAGCAAAGAAGTTCAGCGTTTGTTATTTCACCTTCTTTTGTCACTCTTCTGAATCTATGAATTATAAATTGCTTAGTCACATGAGTAAATGCAGCAAAATTGCAATTTCTAGAATCTAGAAACTGTAATATTAGTAGCATTATTAACTGGTTTCATTATTAGGTTGGTTTGCAAGTAGTAATATTATATAATTGTTAAGCTTTTTTCCCCTCTCTCTCTCTTTTAGTGCATAAGGACTGTTGTAGTTCATTTTAAGACATAAAAGTGGAGATAATTCCCTCTGGAATGATCTTTGTGTCTTTATTTCCTCTGAAACAATTGTGCATGCCATCACTCAATGGGGAGCAATAATGAAAATATTCTGAATTTTCCGTCTTCCCCACTCCCTCCCTTTAACTTAAAGGGTTACAAAAATTGTGTGTCCTAAATATTCTTTCTGGAATCCATTATGCATGAAAAGGGTCTGAATCCATTTGCAAGACTTCTAAATGAACTCCATTCATTCTGTGCTTAGAAATGTCCATTCAACCACAGTCACAATAGTTATAACCTAGTTTCTTTGGCACCGATACCGGCTTATTAAAAAAGTGAAGAAATTGTTATGAACTATGGTAATTTCTCTATGCTAGTTATATAATTCTTTATATAGATATTAAAGGAACTTTATTAATGTAATAATTACATATTCTGTGTAAATAGTTGCAGTGTAGTAAGATTGTATTGATTTAAAATGGTTAAGCAGAGTTATGAAGATTTTGCAGTATCTGGCTTGGAAATGTAGTTTCATCTAGCTTTGCTATATTTCAGAAGCAAGATATAGGGACCTCATATCTTGATGATTCAGGAATAAAGCCGTTTATAATAACAGCCATAATTAGTGGCTGTGGAGAAAAAAGTTTTAAAGTTTCTCTTTTTTAAAACATGAACAATTTTGTTTATATTTGGAAGGTAAAATATTTGAGATATGCATGTCAAAACTGCAGAAATATAGTGTTATCATTTCATCACTCTAAAATCCATGAAGTAGAATCAAGAATTAACTATTCCAAATTCTGGATGTCATACCCAAAAACGTAAATCAAGGATTGTCCCACTGTGGTCAGCAGAATTTCATGATCCTCAGGTGAATATGTATGCATGTGATATCAGATGATGTACCTTCTTTTAAATGACTTGGAAGTGTTTAGAAAGATTACACAGATGCCATTGACTTTCCTTCTAAGTGTAGGAACGAACAAAACTGATAAGCACTTAGGAGAACTTGGCTTATCACGCATGCAGATAAGGCTTTGGTAAGTTCTCCTCGTTGCTGCGTATGTTGTTACAGTGTTGTGCAAGTGAATCAAGCAGACCACCATGGGCGTTCTCTCTCCGGTTCAGCTATGGGAGAGTCTAAGGATGAGCGCAAAATAACTGTGTTTATTTTCATTCGTTTCCCTTTTCTGACAAACTCAGTGGGCAGTTTAACTTAATAATCTGCAGATAGCTGTGTTCAATATAGAATAAAATATTCTGTTTGGAGGGAAATAGTTAAGATAGGATACAAATTTCAAATGTATATTGTTGACCTGGAGTCCTTTGTTTATTTAGATTCAGCAGAGGCTTGGGACCCTGATGCTGCAGTTGACAAAGTTGGCTATCATGACTGCAGAAGGCCATTCTGAAGTTAGTGACGCAGCCATTTGCTTGCTTGCTGTTGTTTATAGAGGAAGGGTCTTTAAGTAGTAGTCGTCATCTTAGCAACTAGCTATTCTAGCTGACTAGAACTGACTGAGCATTTCCTCAGACAAACTGTAGAAAGTACTGTTTGTGGGAAGTGTGTGAGTGGGGGTGAACGGGTGAAGGGCTCATGGCAGGAAAAACAACTAACAGGAAAGGGTAAGTAGAAACATCATCCTCCTTGCACTCAGCCAGTTCTTTATCTGA